TTTGCAAAAACCCAGCCCTGGGCTTCCTGGTGACTCAGATGATAAAGAATCTGCCTGCAGTGCAGACCTGGGTTCAGCCCCTGGGTCAGGAAGACTCCCTGGAGAAGGAGTGGCAACCCACTCCAGTATTCTTGCCTGGAGAAGTCCATGGACAGGGGAGCCTGGCGGGATACAGTTCATGGGGTTGCAAAGAGTCAGACAGGCCTGAGCAACTAACATTTTCACTTTCACTGCCCTCCACAGCCAAGGTCAAGGCCTGGAGAAGGAAACTGTCAGAGGCTTAGGGACTGTGCAAGTGGGTGGGGCTCCCACAGGTGTGCCAACAGGGTGGCCACCTGTTGCTCACTCTCCTCCCCTGGGGGTCCAGAAGGCCCAGGCAGGGCCAGCAGGGTGGGGCTCCTAACTTTCTGGCCCCACCCCTCGGAAGCCTTACTCGAGGGCCAGTTCCAAGCTTAGGCAAGGCTCTGGGTGATATTCAAAGGGTATTTTCTGCCCTTGTCCTTTGAGGAGGACTTTCTTTAAATCACTAGATGGTACCGCAGATGGTAAAGAATCTGCCAGCAATCCAGGAGACCCGGGTTCAATCCCTGGCTCAGGAAGATTCCCTGGAGAAGGAAATGGCAACCCAATTCAGTATTCTTGTCTGGAGAATTCCATGGACAGAGGAGCCTGGTGGGCTATAGTCCACGGGGTCACAAAGAGTGGGACACGACTGAGCAACTAACACTTTAACTTTTCTTTAAATCAGGACCAGCAGTCATGGTTCCCCAAGTCCACTGAACACCAGCTGTTGCCCTAGAAGAGAAAGCTGCTTCATTGGCTGGAGAAGTGTTTTTGTTTGTTTTATTCCCTGCCCAGGGATTTAACCCGGGGCCACTGCACTGAAAGCCCGGAATCCTAACCAGTAAGCCTCCAGGGAACTCCCAGAAGTGTTTTTCTAAACACGGCCTCAGAGACCTCCCCAGTGGCTAAGACTCACTTGCAGAGGTGAGGACGGTTCCGTTTCTGGTCTGGGAACTAAGATCCCACATGCTGTGCAGCACGGCCAAAAACAACAAACAAACATGGCCCCAGGTTAGTCTAGACCTAGTTCATCCTCCAGGAAAGGAGTGGGTGGCCATGAGCCAGAGAGTGAGCAAGAGACAGAGAGAGAGGGAGGGAGGCCATGTGAGCAGGCAGGTGGGTGATGGATGGGTGGTCCCCTGGGGCCCAGAGTTCCCCTGCTCCGGAAGCCGCCACCACTGAACCAGGTGTCACAAAGGGATCATTTTCCCTGCCACAAAGGGCCTGTTCAAAAGCCAGAGCAGCCTGGACTCTCATAGGTGCTATTCACTGTGGGGCCAGGGGGAAGGCTTCATTCATTCTCCACCACCCTCTCCCCAGTCCTGGGAAACGTCAACAAAAGGCAAGGTGCCCTGCCCTCCCTCCTCACCCCATCCCGCCACCCCCCCACACACCACCCGGCCTCTCTCAGGCTCAGGTGGCCCCAAGCTCTCTTGGCCTCAGCAGCCCTAATCCCGCTGTTAGAGTCCCCTGGAACGAGGAAGGTGAACCCAGAAGGTTGCCTTCTATGGGGGCTGAGCGACCCCGAGAGAGACAGTCCTGCCCATGTTTCCCCTTCACCTGTTGAGCAGTTATGAGACACTCCTCCCTCCCCATCTTCAGCAGCAGACTCCAGGCAGGTGGGACCGGGCCAGCCAACCCCTCCCTCTGCACAATGGCCGAGCTTAAAAGAGCCGATTAAGTCCAAGGTTAATTACCGACAGGGCCACTCAGGACGCAGGCTGGGGGTGGGGAGGTTCTGTACATAATTTACCTGACAAAAACCCCTTGGTATGTGTCTCTCTGCCGTTTTTAGCTAACACAGCTATCTTTTTTTGGTCTCTCAGTAACTATAATTTCCTTCCTGGAAACGGAAGTTACAGAGAAGGGCAGACCAACTCAATACAAGGCTGAGCATAAATTACCTGAAGGCAGAAAGGGCTATCTTATGAGGCAGTGAGTTCCACAGCCCTAGACTGGGCTTCCCTGGTAGATCAGATGGGAAAGCCTGCGATGCAGAGACCCAGGTTTGATCCCTGGGTTGGGAAGATCCTCTGGAGGAGGAAATGGCAACCCACTCCAGTATTCTTGCCTGGAGAATTGCATAGACAGAGGAGCATGACGGGCGACAGTCCATGGGGTTACAGAATTGGACACCACTGAGCAATTAGCACTTTCACTTTCACAGATACTCAAGCAAAGGCCGCAGAAGCCCTTTCCAGAGATGTTTCAGAGGAACCCGCACAGCTGTCTATTACATTGACTGCTCAACAAGCTCCATCTCTTCCAACCCTAAGATTGAATGATGTCGACTGTGCCATCAGTCCCCATATTCTGTAAACTTCATAGAATTCATCACCCAGTGAAACTCTTCGAAAAAAGGAAATAGAAGCACTGAGTCTATGTAAGCAGGGAAAAAAAAGACCTAAAATGGGACGATGAAGGGTGGAAAGGAAAAATCCTAGAAAATGCTTCCAAAGCAAAAATTGCTCAAGCAGAAATGATTTCAGCTTCCAAAGCTGAATATACAGCTGAATACCAACAAATCTGTTTCTGGGATAATGGAAGGGACAGATAATCTGTTTGGATTTATGTTACAAGCATTCTTTTTTCTTTTCTTAAATTGTTTTATTTTTGGGTGTGCACTGGGTCTTTGTTGCTGCATGCAGGCTTTCTCCAGTTGTGGTGAGCAGGGGCCACTCTCCAGTTGCGGTGCTCGGGCTTCTCATTGCAGTGGCTTCTCTTGCTGCAGAGCAAGGGCTCGAGAGCGCAGACTCAGTAGTTGTTGGCGCATGGGCTCAGCTGCTCGGAGGCATGTGGGATCATCCAGGACCAGGACTGAAGCCTGTTACGAGTATCTCTAAGAATACTGCCATTACACAGGATGCTGGGGTGTCTAGAATGGAGGGGGTGCTCAGTGTCTGCTGAATGGGGAGCTCACGTCTGAAGATGGCTGTGACCTCAGCCCAACCAGGAAAAAACTTGGAACCGCCAGGTCAGAAAGGGGGCTCACCCTCCTATAGATGTGTCAGCTGGGCTGGGGAGATCTGGAAATTCTTTCAAACCCCGAGCTCTACTCAAGACCATAGACAATTCAACCAGCAAACATGGTACTTTCACTCCCTTGGCGGGGATGGGCCCCAGCGGCAGAGTCCATGTGACATGGGGAAATCAGTTCACACTCCCAACTATTAAAAATCTTTATTGTTAATTGTTTTCTCCAGCAGAAATATTGTAGAGATATGAACCCACAGCAACATTTTCACTTCTCTTCTTCAGGAGATGAGATAGGTCAGGGCCACTGTCATTACAAGAGGGAGGCCCGTGAACTTGACAAGGAGAGGAACACACCTTTATGGGAGCCGCAAGTACTAGAAGAGGGGGTGGCCAGCAGCATCAGAACTGATGCCTGATGACAGATGTTACAACCCTGGGTGGTGGTGGGGTGACTGAACAAAAACTCACCTTTCCCCAGGTGGTCAGTCGAATTGCAGGCCACAGAGCTGGGAGTGAGAGAGTATGTGTGTGAATGTGTGTGTGTACATTCACATACATGTGTGTCCACACACTGCCCCTCCTGAAAGAAGATGTTCTTGGGCCCCGGTCAGGGTGCCCACAGTCCTTGTCCCCTGGGGGATCAATCGACTTTTCAGGCTAACGGTCAGCTGGCCAGTGCCGGGGGCCTGTGTGTGCAGGAGGACGTGGGTATCTAGGTTGTGACACTTGAGTCTTCCTCTGGGGCGAGGCTGAGGAAGCTCAGAGTGCACCATGAATAGACATGGGGCTCCCAGGCCCAGGCCCTGGACATGCAGGCGTTTGGCTCCCATGCTCCATGACCGCCCTGAGCCCTGAGAAGGAGAAATCTGGCTCTGAGTGTCTTCTCCTGGCTCTGGGTCCCTGGGGCAAGAAGCAGGACTCAGCTGTCTTTGCCCTCCAAGGGTGGGGGTGTGGGGGGTAGGGGTGGAGACTTCCCCTCCCCAGCCCCACATCCTTCTCAACTCCTCACCCACACTCCCCTCCAGTGAGAGATGCAGGAAGCAGGACGGCCACCTTCAGGGGAGAAGGATGGCAGCTGGGAAAACCTGGGGTTCCTGCAGCCCTTCAAAGACCATTCAGTGCTTTACAGTGTGTTTCTGGGGGCCGGAGTGGAGGGCCAGCGTGGTGGGACTTGTTCAGTGAAGGCCCAGCCGGCTGTCCCAAAGGGCACTTTATAAATAAACAATGACACTGTTCCTTCCAAGCTGCCATGGGGAGACAGCCTTCCGAAGTGAAGGGCACAGCCGCGGATGAGAGGCCTCTGGGGGCTGGTCAGGACCCACTGCCCTGGCAGCACACACTGAGGGAGGAGCCTGGGGGCGATGGTGGGGGAGCGGGGTGGATGAAGCCAAAGGCCTCCTGGGCCTTGTAAGCCAAACTGAGGCCTTGGTGTGGGTTCTGGGCTCCCAGGCAGAGACCTCTGCTACGTTTTGGGGTCTTAGGGCTGAGAGCAGCTCCTGCCCAGATGAGATCTCAGGAAGTTGGCTACAGAGGGAACGATGACTGAAGGGAAAGAGGCTCCCTGCTCAATGAGGGCAGGCTGGAGAGGCCCGGACAGTGCAAGTGAGCGATTCCACCCTCACTGAGGGAGGCTGGCTGGTTGCCAACTCGTGGAAGTGATCCTGATGAATGGTCTCCTTTAGGCTCTGGGCTGCTCATTCAGGACAACCTTGGGGGCTCTGTTTTCCAGCTGTGGATCCTGCTTGGGGTCCTGAAGGGGGAGGTCCCCTTGCTGATGAAGCCAGGTGTGGTCATTAATGCAAATGCACTCTCCAGGTGGACTCCCCCCCCCCCCCACCTCACTGGAGAGGGCCTACCCACCACAGGGCTGGTGGGTGGCCCATGGTGGCAGAAGTCATGGGTGAGCCAATGGAAAACGAAACACACCTAAACCAGTAGAAGGCAAACACAAAACACATGAAAACAGCAGCAGGCTCTTTGTGTAATAAATATTGCAAAGCGCACTTGGTTTCTTTCTTTCTTTTTTTCAAGTCAAATATAACAACCAATGTCCCAAACCCTGTTTTCGACACTCAAAAGAGAGGAGCTGGTGTGATCAGCCTAACACCTGCAGCCAATCAAAAAAGAAAAAAAAAAAAAGGTTCCCATTAGCCAGCCAATCAAATCCTTTTCCAGTTTAAGCCGCCAATCGGACCTCCTCATGTTCCTAAAGAGTGACCCAAATAAAGCACCAGAGCTCGGAGAGCTTCTTGGGAAGCCATACACCCGAGGCGCGAATTTTTTTTCCTTTTTTTAAAATAATAGTCAGAAAATAAAAATAAAAAGGTTTCCATTGGTCAAGATTTAAAAATAAAAAGGTTTCTTCCTGCAGCCAATCATGAGTCCGTCCCTTTAAGCCAATCGTGACCACACCGTTGGTGTCTCCCCCGAGGATGCTGAGTGGCCGTGGGGTGGGGCAGGGTGGGGTGGGGTGGGGAGCCAAGGGGAGGGGAGATGACCCTCTGCCACTCAGCGGTGAGGTCCACACAGATCTCCTGGCCTTGGCCAGCTTCCAGGGTGTTCCACCGGGGTTGCAGCTACTGCCTCCGGTCCTCCGTCTCCGACCTGGAAAACGCCATCACTACGTCCTCCGCACCTGCAGACCGTGGGGAGAGAACCGCTGCTGGATGGGCCTCTGGTGCTGGGCTGCAGCCCCCATGAGGCGTCAGTCCTCCCAGGAGGGGTGCTTTCTGAGAACAAAGTGCTTCTTGGGAAGCCCACTGCCCCTCTTGAGCCTCCCCTACAGCCTGGCCAGGATTCACCAGCAACCCAGCTGCAGGGCCTGGGCAGCAGGTTGTCAGAGTGAAGCTTAGAGGCTCACTCTAGGCTACACCTCCAAGAGCGGGGAGCAGGACAAGAACCCAGGCTGCTGTTCTGAGCAGGGCTCTCTCTGCTGGTGACCCTTGCTCCAGGGTCACCACAGCCAGGGGCCCTTGGGAAATGCCCTCTTCCTTAAGACTCTGGCCTCCATCCTTTGGGAGGATCTCCCTCCTGATTTCTAGCAGTCATTCCTCTTTGTCCAAACCCCATCACCTGCTCAGAGCAGCACAGCCAGGCCCATTTCCAGCCTGGCTCCTACAGAGACAAATAATGGCCATAATCTTTCTATTGCTATTTTTCATGGTTGATTTGAGGATTCTGGTCCAGGGTCTCATGAAACCACTTCCTTTGTCTTGTTTTCCCTGAGACAGGCTCTGACTTGCAGCCAGAAAAGGCAGGAGGGAGGTGGGGGAAAGCCTGGAATGCTGACCTGCCTCCCCCGAAGCTGCTGGGGAGGAAGGACTGAGCACAGGCCCTATGGGGCAGGTGAGGTCACCTGCAGGTCCCGCTCTGCCTCCTGTGCCTGGATCCTGCCCAGGCAGGAGTCTCTCCCCTTTTTTCCAAACCTAGGTTCTTGGTCATGCCCTGAACGTTAAAGAGCAGTCAATTGCCTGTGGCCCTTCAAACCTACTTCTGTTCTGCTGGAGGAATTCTCCCTGGGAGGGGAGGGTTGGAACAGCAACACAGGGGGTGTGGGGCCACTGAGCGGGCGGTGGGGGGCAGGGGGAGTGATGCCTGGTGGAGCTGCTGGCATGGGAAACTGGAGAGAGGGCAGGACTCCACCACCATCCACCCCCCAGGGCATGGCGTGGGTCAGCTCCTTCCAAGCTGCAGGGAGTTGCCACTTCCCAAGGCAGCTTCCTCCTGCCTCTTTCCTTAACTGTCCTGCCGGGAGGAGCGGAGGAGGAGGCACCCAACCCTGGTTCTGCAGGAGGAGGGCCCCTCCAGAAGGATGTCACATGACAGACAAGTGTCTGCAGTTTGGCACCAGAGCACCAAGGTGCTGCTGCCAAGGGGAGTCACTGTGCCGCACAACCCCACCTGACTTGATGTTCTGCTGCTACCAGCACAACCTCTATTCCCGCCAAGGGGAACAAGCTTCTAGAAAGGAGCTCGGATCATCCAACTTCTCTGGGCTCCTGTGCTTGGGAAGCCCTAGCAATCCTTCCCCTGTCTTCTCGGGAACATTCTGTACTCGCCTCGCTCCTCGGACCACGCAATATCACTGCGGGCAGAATTTTCCTAGCAACCACAGGATCCAAGATTACATCATACCCTGCATGGCAGCTGAGCCAGTTACCTAACAGATGCTGGCTTTTCCCGAGTGCCGACTCTCCAGCTCGCTAAGCAGGAGGGGGCTGGAGGGAGACTGGTAAAGGGGAGTTGTCAGCAAAAGAGGCAATGCACAGTGGCAGCCCACTCACTGCTTTCCTGTCCTGTCCTGTGGGCTTGCTTGCAGGGACCTTGGGCCTCTGTGCTGAGCTGCAGGCACAAAAATAGCACCAGCCATCCCAGGAGGCAAGAGTGAGTCTGCAGAGGGAATGGCCATCAGTTCCTTGGAGGAGCCCAGACGCAGGGGCTGCAGGATGAGTGTACCTGGGCTGCACTCTGAGAGATGGAGAAAGAAGTCACCTCCTCAAGGTCATTGAGGGACTCCAGCAACTCCCTAACAAGACATCTGCGCCAGGGCTGCTCCGCCAGCTGGTCGGCCCATCCCTGGCTGGGGCAGAGAGGGCCGGGGACCCACGGCTCCTGTTTACAGGGCCTCCCACCCTGCTGCTGGAGCCGGTGCATGAAGGGCCCAGAGGGCCACTGCCCACCCCAGCTCTGATCTGTTCCTAAAGGACTCATTGTTTTCCAGGGCTCACCACCAGGGACCTGCTTCCCTTTGGGGACCCAGAGCAGGGCAGGCTCTTCCAGAGCCTCCTCTGACCTTTCTTACACTGGTTGGCCTGGCATTCATCACTCGACAAGGGCCTGACCCTGCGGGCTGTGAGGCGAGGATGTGGCCCTTCCCCTTCCTCTTCTCCACGGAATTGGGGCCCATCACCCAGTGGAGAGTGAGCTGCTTAGTTCATTATTATGATTCAAGTTCTTCGAGCTTTAGAGCCAGGAGGGATCTCCAAAGTTGACCCTCATAAGCCCTCCTTCTCCTTTGAGGCCAGACTATGGGGCCTTCCTTAGAGGCTCTGTCCTGGAAATGCAGGGCTCACAACAAGAAGATACTACAGAGAAGCCAGCAGGCCCAGCTCACCGCCTCTGGGCCATCAGCTAGGTTTACCATCTCATTTTACAGACGAGGCTGGTATATCTCATTGGTACTTTTGCCGACCCTGTCTGGACGTGGGCTCAAAGCTTCTATTTGTCCTTCCCCACCAGATGCAGTGAGTATGGGAGGGGAAAAGCTGATCGGTCTCTCCTGTTCCACACTCTCTGAGCCATTAAAGATAAAGAAAGCCAAAACCAGATGAAGACATCACAAGGAATGAGAACTACAGACCAGTATCTCTTATGAATATATATATTCACAACATCTATGGTATGCAAGAACACTCACAAAATACTAGCAAGCAACATATAAAAAGGATTATATACTCTGACCAAGTGACATTATCCCAGGAATGCAAGGTTGGCTCAATACCCCAAAATCACTTAATGTAATAACTCCTATCAATAGAAAAAAGAACAAAAACTATAACTATATAATCATACGAATAGACACAGAAAACACATCTGACAAAATTCAATACCCCTTCATGATAAAAAACACCCAACACACTAGGAATAAAAGGGAACTTCTTCAACCAGATAAAGGGCATCTACTAAAAAATCACAGCTATTATCATACTTAATGGTAAAGACTGAAAGCTCTCTCCCTTCAAGATTAGGAACAAGTAGACAAAATCCACTCTCACCACTTCTATTCAATACTATGTTTAAGGTTCTATCCAGGGCAATTTGACAAAAAAAAGAAATAAAAGCCATTCAAATTGGAAAGAAAGAAGTAAAACTGTATTTGTAGATGATATGGATCTCACATATAGGAAATCCAAGGAATCTACTGAAAGATTACTAGAACTAATAAGTTAAAGTCGCAGGATATAAGGTCAATATACCAAAAACCATTTGTATTTCTATAAACTAGGAATGAATAGTTTGAAAATGAAATTAAGAAAATAATTTCATTTACAGTAGCAGCAAAAATAATAAAATCCCTAGGAATAAATTTAACAAATGGAGTACAAACTTTGAACTCTAAAAAGAACAAAACATCAATGTCTAAAACATTACTAAGGACTTCTCTGGTGGCACAGTGGATAAGAATCTGCCTGCCAATGCGGGAACATGGGTTCGAGCCCTGGTCTGGGAAGATCCCACATGCTGTGCAGCAAATATGTCCGTGCATCTCAACCACCAAGCCCGAGCTCTAGAGCCCGAGAGCTGCGACTACTGAGCCCAAGGGCTGCAACCACTCAAGGCTGCGTGCCCGGAGCTCGTGCTCTCCAGCAGGAGAAACTGCTGCTCATCAGAACTAGAGAAACTTGCACACAGCAACCAAGACCCAGTGCAACCAAAAATAAATTAAAAAAAAAAAAAAAAAACACAACAAAACACTGCTGGACGAAATTCAACAATTTCTATCAAACCCCAGCTGCCTTTCTTACAGAAATTGGCAACCTACTCCTAAAATTCATATGGGAATGCAAAGCATCCAGAATAGCCAAAATAATCTTGAAAAAAAAGAACAAGGTTGGACCCACACTTTTGAATTTTAAAACTTACTACAAAGCTACAGTAAACAAGTCTGGGTAGAACTGGCATAGATCAAGGGAACAGAATTGGGAATCCAGAAATAAACCCTTCCATTAGTGGTCAATTAAATTTTGACAAAGGTGCCAAGGGTTCAATTTGAAAGAACTGAACAAATGGTGCTGAGACAATTGGATATACTTACATGTAAAAGATGAAGCTGAACCCTTGTTTTGTGCCATACACAAAAATTAACTCAAAATGAAGCAGTGACCTAAATATTCTAAGAGCTGAAGTACAAAACTCTTAGAAGAAAACAGGAGTAAATCTTCATAGTCTTGGGTTAGAAAATGGTTTCTTAGATAAGACACCCAAGGCACCATTAACAAAAGGAAGAAATATATATATATATATAAGTTGGGCTTTATCAAGGTTAAAAGCTTTTATGCTTCAAAAAATACTATTAAAAAAGTGAAGACAACCTACATAATGAGAGAAAATATTTGCAAATCTGGTAAGGGATTCATATCAAGAATATAAAAATAACACAATTCAATAATAATAAAAAGTTAAATGACTCAAATGTTTAAAATGGGCAAATAATTCAAATAGATATTTTTCCAACGAAGATATGTGAATGGTCAACGTGTGCATGAAAAGATGCCCAATAACATCATTCGTTATGGAAATGCAAATAAAAACCACCAGGAGATATCGCTTCATATCGATTCCACTGGCCAGCTGGAATCAAAAGACAGATGATAGCAAGCATTCAGGAGAAACTGGCACCCTTAGACACTGCTGGTGAAAGGTCAAACGGTGCAGCCCCCAAGCCTGCGTACCTGCAGCCTCCGCCACCTCAGGCGATGGCACCTCCAACTCCGGCGTCTTCCTGATTCCTTCTCTCTCACACACACTCCACATACAACACATCAGCCAGTCCTGCTGACTCTACTTTTAAAATGCATCCTGAACTCATCACCATTCCTCGACTGCCACCCTGGTCCAGGCCACCACTACCCCTCTCATTAGCCCCCTGCACCCTCTTTCCCTGGATCTCTCCACTCTAGCCCCTGACAATCCATTCTCCACACTGCAGTCAGAAGGAAGATAAAACCAGGAGTCAGCTCCTGCCGCTCCTCTGTTCAAAACTCTCCAAAGGTGGCTTATTGTACGATTTCTCATCACACTCAAGGGAAACTCCAAACTCACCCTGTAGCTGCAAGATCCAGTGCAATCAGGCCTCTGGCTGCCTCCTCCCCTCCTTCCATATGCCTCCTCCACCTTCACCCAGTTCCAGCCACAGGCGCTCCTGCCTGTCCTTCAGGCACAGGAACCTGAGCCTCAGGCCTTTGCACCTGCTCCTTCCCTGGCCTCAGTGCTCTTCCCAAGTCCATCTCACAGCTCTCACACTTCATGCCAGTCGGTGCACAGTAACCTCCCCTGGCTTTCCCTGACCTCGATGTCTAAAACAGTGACACAGGATGAATCGTTAGAGGTGAAGAGCTCAGAGAGATGAAACAACCTGGTGAATCAGAGACAGAGCGAAGACCCGGTACAGACTCAGAAGACCACGCACGCGGCACGACACGCGTTGTCGTTTTCTACGAGGACAAGGAAATAACCGGTCCTGCCCCAGTTACCCTGAGCACTGAGGCTGCTCCTGGCAGAGTGTGCACCCATATACCTGCCCCCACAAGAATGGAAGCAAGACCCAGGACTCGCAAAGCACACAGAAGCAGGCCTGGGGTGGATGCCCTAGAGTAAACTGAACGTGGAGTCCAGAAGGCCCACCCAGCAGGCGCCTGGCCAGACCCTGTCCCCTGCCTGGGCCCACTGCTCTGCCAGATGCCCCCCTAGTCCCATGGCTCGCCTGCTGTGGAGAGCGGGGCCAAGGCGCTGGGGAGGACGTAGCTCTCTGAACCAGAGCCAAGCACCCAGTGGGCCTTTCCGTCCCATGTTCCACTTCAGCTCTGCCTCTTTAATGGAGTCCAGTCAAGTGACTGGGGAGAGAAAAATGACAAACATTCAGGAGCTTAGAAAAGGGAAGCCGGCCCCCAGCTGGGGGCGGGAGACAGACAATGGGGTCACTGGTCTGTTTGCAAGCTCAGGGTGAATTCACACCAACAGAATCAAAAGCCCAGTACAGGCTCCACACACCAGCGCCACCCGCGGCCCCAGCCCGGCCTGGCTCTCTGAAGGGAACCAGCATGCTGCCATTGGGGAGCAGTTCTCTGCAGGGTGTGGGGCAGACCGGCAAGGAGCAGCCGGGTCTGGAGAAAGGCCCAGGGGTGAAAAAGAGCAGGAAAGAGGAACAGGGGAGATGACTGCAGCCCTGAAGCAACGGATGCCGGAAGGGCACGGAAGGCCTGTTTCTCAGACCCAGCAGGGGACATCCTAGTGGAAAACCCACCCCTTTCCAGGAGGCACAGACCCTCACTGGAGCAGGCCTAGTCCCAGGGCCCACAAGGACGGCTCCAGATACCACCCCTGACCCTCTCCAAGAGGGATCCTGCGGAGACAGAGAGACCAGGTGGTGGAAGGAATAGACAGAGCCTCCTGACTCCTGGGATGTGCTAACCGTGCAGTTCCAGCCTCCATCCAGCAAAGCGCTTGCTCTGCTGTGGCTCCCCTAAAGCCCAGCTCAGAGGAGGAGCCTGCGCTCACAGGAGGTGGGAACCCTGAGGGTAAACCCTCCCCAAGAAACTGACAGAAGGTGCAAGAGCCTGGGCTAGCTTCCAAGGCTGCCAGCCCCAGGGCCCCCAGTGCAGGACAGAGCC